CCCCAAAACCCCAAAACCCCAAAACCCCAAAACCCCTATTATTGTCTTTGATCAATTTTAAAATGAGAGAAGCAGTTTATTTAATTTATATCAAAATCTGAAATTGCCATTTCCTTTACCTTGAGGACTTACATCTCTTATAAACATATTATCCTATCTCCTCTCTTTTGGTGAAGGACTTTATTCAAGCATTGCTATCTTTTATCCGAGCATTATATTATCGAAATCAAGTGAGTCTTTCCAGTAAATCATTCCCATTATGAGTCTCACAAAAAATGAAATATAAGAAGCATAGAGGGAAAAGTGCTTGATTGATTTTTCAACTCCAGGGTCATTTTTTGAGTCAATTTCATATTCAGTAGTTTTAAGTGAAAACCAAACTAGATCATAGATAATTGATATTAAAATTCCACCGACAAGCATTCTAAAAGTATTCTTGGCTTATTTATTCAGATTGAGTAAAGTATAGATTGCCACTGTGCAAACAGTCAACTAAAATTTTTATAAGCAATAAAGAATTTTACATTTAGAAAATCCTGTCGATGGAAGCAAACAAGCAAAGTTAGAATTGTATAAATTAAAGTCAAGTAAAGAGTCCAACTATACCAAGGAATTTCTTTCATTCCTATCTTTGAAGCTATTATATTTGAGTATTCATCAAATTTCTACTCTGCCCTCTTTTCTACAACCTATGCTTAAGCTTAAAACTATTATATATTTTGGAATTTAAGTCCTCCGGTACCATTATCCATTATTTGCTCTTTATTATAGTAAGCTTACAGAAAACCGAAAGGGGATTTCATATTTTAGAGCTGAGCTTCCAGTGCATTTCTTTCTTAAGTTTCTTCATCGATAGCATTATCTTGAATTTTGAGGATATCTTAAAGAAACTTCCTTCTTGAGTGAATCCAGTGAAGAGTCATTCTAATTTTTCCGAAATAATTTCCTTAGTTTTCCAATTAAAACCATTCATCGTGCTTATATTAATCTATCAAACCGTCCATATAAACCTCACATTGTCCAATCAATTGATCCCTCCCAATATTAGATCTACTATATACTTGAACGATTAAGGGCTCCTTTCCAGTTGTAATGTCAAAACTAATTATTTCGTTCCAAACTGGTTCAGAGTTACCATTAACTTGATCCGTTTATGATTTTTACCCTTCAACTGTCAAAATAGCATAAGGATTAGGCTGTCCACTCGTTCTTAGTTCTCTTGCTTCAATAACAGTAGCAGTTAATACACTTCCCACCATGATGCCATATTGGTTCATCTGTTCACTCATTTGTATTTCTTTTAGCTTCTCAATTATTTCATTCTTCTTCTTTTCGTCCTCTATAATCATCTTATTAAGTTCCTCAACTCTCTCTTCGATTTCTCTTTGCTAATCAAAATAAGACTCTACAAATTCAACTAAAGAAATAGTCCCACTGTTATCTTTATCAATTTCTCTAAATATTTCTTCTGCAATGCCTGTATCAATGTCCTAGCCTCCCTATTCAACATTTATTTGAATTTAAAAATCACCTACCTTTTCTTAAAGATATTTGACTATTTCATTCAACGTGATAGTATCATCATTATTATAATCCAATTTTTTGAATTCTGTATACAGTTCCTATTTAACTTTTTCATATTCTCTCTCTTTAGCAATCATGAATTCAGCGTGGTGAGCTTAACTAGTTGTTTCTTTAAGCATTCTCTCATTTGGATTCTCTGCCTCAAAATTTCCCTCTTTCAACTATCTTGATCTTCTTCCTATTAATATTTTCAAATGCATAGAAATTTCTACCTTTGTAAGGTGAATCTTAGCGAGATACTGGAGAGCCTGAAAGAATGTCTTGCAATGTTGCCATTTTGTTGTTATTTAAAATTATTTATCGAATTAAATCAAATTTTATTTTAAATTTTAGTATGAGGGGTTTTGGGGTTTTGGGG